CAGAAATGACTGATTTGCTTATAAAAGATTCATGTGTTGAGGTCTTCTAGGAACTTAGATTTATGAGACCAAAGTTTAGCAAACGCAGTTACAAGATACAGATTGGAAAAGCTTCAGTCTGTTGCTATTGCAATAGGCTGACGGCAGCAGCAAATATAGCTGTCATTTTGAGCACCTATCACGTGTCAGACCTTGTGTTAAATACAAGGCACCATCTAACTTAATCTCATGACAACTTTCTTATGCTAAAGTAAGGAACTGTTTTGTCCTTACTTTATAGATGAAGAGATTAAAGCTCAGATATGGAAGCTAACGCCCAATGTCTCAGGGCCAGGACTTGAACACAGGTCTATGTGACTTCAAAACCAAATTATTTCATTGATCCCCACTTAACCAATTTGCCAGTGTAACAGATACTGTCTGTTCCTTTTGCAAAATCTAGACAACAAAATCTAGATAACAAAATCTAGTTATCAGTAGCTCTCATGAATATCCCAGGCTCTAGTATGTCTACATACTTCTCCCACTAGTCAGAAGTTATATGTTTACCAAGAGACAGGACCTGTTGGTTGAACCTGTTATTATAATTATATTACTTTACAAAATATTAAGTGATGTAATATGTGTGTAAAGGAAGTTGTATCTATGAAAACTAAATACAATGCTTTGGGAAGATTTAATAAAGACTGGCAACTCAAGAAAATTAGGTGTGAGAAGGAAATATAAAAGATGCGGAAAACCATAAAAATCTAGAGGAATTTTGCATTCATTTTGCCTTGCAAGGATCTTTTTCATCTGTTTTAAAGATACTGCAATACTTTGATAGACTATATGTTATGGTTGTAGTTTATACAAGACAGAGTGCATGAAATGTCAGTCAGCAGACCCATATGCCAAGAGATAGGCTTGGCCCTGCAATTAAAAGATGAGCAAATAAATGAATACTTCTGTGATTTATTAACATAAAATGGTATGCGTATATGTGTGTGTTCATTTGTTTTGTCAATGATTCTTCTCTGTGTTGCAATTAACCCACCAATACTGCCCCCCATCCTTTCAAAGGGGAATTCTGTATACTTGCCATGGGTAAGCATATTATGAGAGAGGAGAAGAGGACAAGAACTTTGGAGCCCACTCTACAGAGGTACAAGTCTTCAAAGTGAACTCAGTGATAATATTCAAAGCTGTGGAAGGTGAATTTCAATACAACAGGATTATGCACCAAGGTTTGGGGTTGGGATAACATAAAACATTTATTCCCAATTTTTTTTTCCCACAGAACTTTAGTTTCTGTAGACTGGAAACATTACAGCATAGAAGAAGGAGCATAGGCTTTGGATATGTTGGATGTAGCTTCAACAGCTTAACTAATTGACCTTAGGTATGGTCTCTTGAGTCTCAATTTCCTCAAATTAAGATAATATGGTAACACCTCTATCACATAGTTGTTGGGGAATGTATAATGCTGGGCACGCAGTAAGTTGGAAAGGATTGCTCTTCATTTTTTGCCCCATTGCATGGGGCTATTAAAAAGTATTATATATTAATCAAAAAGGTAGAGAAGGACATGGAAAGGAAAATTACTATCTCCGTCAGTTTTTTACCCAAAAAACTGTTACAGCCACATTTGGAGTAGATTTGTATGTTAGGAAAAAGAATTTCAAGAGTCTTTGCTTACTTGAAAGATTTTTTAATTCGAGCAGAAATAGAAAAAGCTAGACACCAGTGGAAATACTTTGTTGTAATTTTGGGTTTTGTTGGTTTTGTTTTTTTTTAGTACAACATTGTTCATCTTCCTTTGTGAATGGCAGATTTAAAATTTGAGGTTTACAACATTCTAAGGACACATTCCATGTGACTTGTTTTATTTGCAGTGTGACCACAAAAATAATTTTCATTTTCAATAAAGATAAAATATCAGAAGAACCTATTTTTCTTACTCCACTAAATGTAACTTTTTTATTTCCAGGTATTTATCAGATTCTGTAGTAAATGCATTTTTTATTCTAAAGCCTATTTAAGGTTGGAATGGCAAGTGATCAGCAAGAGAGAATTACAACATAATATTTTAAACATGCCATCCCTAGCCTATAATAAGTAATAAGTAGAATCAAGACAGCAAAAGACATATTTGTCCTCAAGATGCTTATAAGGCTAATTGGAGAAAGAAAACATTAGGAAATAGAAAGATGAAGTGAATGATAAGAATTTTAACAGTACTGCAAGTAATTGGGGTATTGGGAAGGAGAGGAGACTGGCAGAGTCAACAAAAGAATCAAGAAGAATGCTTAATAACATATTTATGAAGATAATTTTCATAATTAAAGTGTATATGGATGACAAAGTGCTACTATACTTAGAGGTAAGAATTGCATATGTTGTGTATACCCTAATCCTGTGATTCACGGTAAGGTTGTATTATGATATGCTACTGCCTTCTTAACAAGTAGCCACAGTTTATTTTCTTTATGTTATTGAAAACCTCCTTAGAAAGTTCTGTATATTAACCAAGTTAATGCATTGGCATTCTTGGATTTATTCTTTTAAAAATATTTGCTGAGATTCTGTTTTATGTCTGGTCCATCCTATTTATAGGATGTATTTATATTCTCTCACATATACTGAACAACTATTTATTTTCAAGCTAGCAAAAGGAAATCAAATTGTTCATTTCAACTCTTGTTTAAAACGTGCCTGGTTGTTACGGCTTAGTCATACTTTAAATTTAGCATAGGAGTTTCTCGAGTCATTCAATGCTGTATATAGTGAATTCTATATATCTGGCTTAAGCCTTCATAGTAAAGGCTTGGGTTTTGCTGCCAGTTATAACGATAGGGTTAAAAACAAGTACACAGTTTTATACCTCTGCATGAAAATTCTTCTGAAAGGTATCTTGAGATTATTTACTTGCCAGTCTTACTGCATTCCTGTTAACTTCACTGGAATTTACAAAGTATTTGTTGGCTCTAGAAATATGTATGGACAGGAGATGAATTAATTCACAGAATACCAAGAAAATTATCAAATCTGGAATTAGATTTTTTTTTAAAAGAGTTGTAGGATCTCATTTTACCAATAAATAAGTACAAGCTATCTGGGACCAACCAGCTCCCTTTCTTCAGCAACCTTCGCCTGTTAGTGCCAAAGACACTTGAGGTGGTATTTATAGTTTAGACATTTTCAGACTGACTTCCACAGAGTTCTAGAGTTCCAGGTACTCAGGAGATAAAAGGATCATACTGGAGGCTACCAACCTCTTTTCCTTTCAGTCAAATCAGTTCTGATAGTAATTGGGGAAAATAAAGTTTCCAACTAACCTGTAACCAGTTTGGAAAATTATTGCTCTGCATGGAATATCTGAGCTTACTTCCATACACAGATGCCATCAATGTCAAGTTCTTCATGACAGTAGCCTCTGTGTGAGGAGGCAGATTGTGAAGGATGCTGTGGCAGTGTGTTCATCATAGTCAGTGACCCTCAAACTCCTTACTAGAAACTGTCTCCTTTCAGGCTTTGCAACTTAGAGAAACATGGAAAACTTGGAGAGAAATCAGAGCACAACCACAAAGAAAATTTCAGTGAATTACCTTTGAGGAAACTAGAATTATTTTATTTGGAAAAGAGAAATCTGAAGGCAACTTAACAATAGTCTTCCAGACATTGAGAATTATTAGATTGGGATTAAGGACCAGATTTCCTTCATGTGCAAGCATGGGTTGGGGGGAAAGGGAGGGGGGGATTCCTGCTTTGGTAGGAAGAATATAATACAGAACCGAAAGAAAAAAACAGCAATCAGATGCTGATCCCGTTTAATCAAAGGAATAGATCATTCTCTACACTGTTCATGACAGTTTTTAAAAGGCAATGTGAATTTCTATCTCTGTTTTATGTGTTAGATAATGTGTCACCTGAACGAACAGGGGTGAGTTCAATGAACTTTGTCTTTTTAACCCTGTGAGTCAGTGATTTATCTTTAAATTATCTCATAAGGTATAGATTTCAAACAATTATTTTGAATTATATTCTCACAGCTTGATGCTGCCAGGAGAGGATCTACTTTCTAATAAAATTAAGGAAGTTAGTGACAAAGAGGAACATTTATTCCATGGGTCATGAACTCAGATATATACAAGGGCCAGTGGGCATTACAAAGGAGTGAAGCTAACAACATAGAACAATATGGCGTTAGAGAAGTTGTGGGGTATAAGAAAGCTTATAACTCTTCTAAGAAGGGCAGCCACTGCTAACTGGCCAATTGTTATCATCTCCTAATGTGCCTATATTAACAGATATTTGGCTTTCTCAAAGCTGGAAATCCAAAACTTTATGTGAAACATTTTTCTCACATTGACAAAATATTCAGATTTATAAAAGTATTTTGCTTGCTGGGCAGGCAAAACAATACACTTGGTGCAGGCTATAGGTTAGAAACCTTTTGGTTTATTCTTTAGCTCACTAGTTCACTACCACAATAATTAACAAACAAAACAGAACTGTTTGAACTTTAAAGCTTAGGAGAATTAATCAGCTAACCCTTTACAAGGCTTAATTAAGGTCAATTCCAATTCTGTGATTTTTTAAAACTCCCCTTCCCTTTTCCTTGCTCCCAGTATTGGGCGGCTCATTCACAAAGGGAATTTTAACAAATTTCTTATTTGCCTCAGCAACATAATTTTATTTGGTAAAATAATCAAGTGCTCAGATTGAAAAAAAAAAGCAATTCTTGTTTCTATGCTAAAGATGCCACTGATACTAGTAGATGCCATATACTAGTGTGCCACTGAAACACACTTGTATATGGCATAGGTTTGTCACTTTGGATCTTTGAACTAACATTTGTTTATAACATTGGCTGCATGAGGCATGCTTGACTGAAAAGCCTACTTAACACTTTTACCATTTGGGGACATGTCTTATTTGTCTTTTATTAAATATTTTCAAATAACTCACCTTCACCTGGGGTAAGGACAGCTGGATTTCTGAAATCCCCTTCCTTTCAGACAGGAGAATATGCCACAGATGAAGAAGAAGATGAGGTAGGACCTGTTCTGCCTGGCAGCGATATGGCCATTGAAGTCTTTGAGCTACCTGAGAATGAGGACATGTTTTCTCCATCAGACCTGGACACAAACAAGCTCAGTCACAAGTTTAAAGAGGTATGCCACTAAGCTGCAAAATATTTATCTATGCCTGTCCGTTTTATTAAGCACATATTTCTGTTTGCATAATATATTAAGAATAACCAGTTTGCAAATGAAAGCTTTTAAATAACAGGTTGTCTTGAGTCTCATTGAATTTCAGGTAGAATTTAAGTAGATCTCATTCCACAATCATTGATTTAAATGCTTATTTGTCATAGTGTCATATGGGCTACATATATGTAGCCCATAATTTCAAACAGGAACTTAAATGTGCAATTTTATGGTGTTGACATGTTTAGGTTATATGTTTTCAGTTTTACAGAATTTTTGGTATCTGGTGATAAGATTTTCTCTTAAGGCAGTGGAAAAAAAGGCTCTTTCCTAAAAACACTCTTTTTATCTTTCTGTTCATGAGATAGATTTCTAATAAGCATCAGATGGCATACCCAAAGGGTTTACTTGAAGAGAGTTTAATACGCAGACTTTGAGCACTAACAAGGGGCAGTGAAGTGCACAGGGACTGGCAACAGCAGGAGGCTATTACCATCTTTTGGCTTAATGGGTAAAAAGAGGGGTGGATATTCCCATTTTGGAGGAAGGCCGTTCAACATCCGCAGCTTTATAAGATGCAGCCACTGCTAAAAGCTGCATCCTTGGAGCAAGGGTAAGAATATACCCTGACTCTGCTTTCCTTTTCCTGCTGATGCATCCAAACCCAGGCAAGGGAATGTGGTGATGCAGTCTCAGTCTGAAGAGGTCAGACTCCTGAGGCAATGTGCTCTTAGAGAAGGGCCAGGAATAGAATCTGGGGGGAAGAAATGTGGATAACTCCTCTTCCAAAGTAACTTCTCAGAAGCTGACACATGAGAAACAGAACAGTGATTGATAGGTCCCCAAGCAGTTTATCCTTCATTGTTTTGGGAGAGTATCCCCCATCATAAAAGAGAAATATGTCATTATTTACAATTTATTCATTTCTTATAAAGACTTTCTAAATTAACTGATATCTTCAAACCAAAGAGTAATACAGAAAAAGAAAAGTTCTGCAGAAAGTGACTGAGTGGGAGGAAGAGGTGTTATCTACTTACCTGTTTCTCTGTAGCCCTTATTTGGTTAAAGAATATAAGTTCTCAAGAAAAGTAAGCAGATGACTTGTTCTCTAAGAAATCTTCTTTGAATATTTTAACTCATAACCCAACTTTAACAAATATTGGAGGCAGTGAGATCAAAGTACTATTCCCTGGCAAAAGCCTCTAATACACCTCTTTCATTTTGCTAGGTGAGTATGACTCCTAGTCTTTGGTAGATAATTAATCGAGCTGGAAGAAGGGTCCACATTCTTTTATGTAGGGTGAAGAGCCTATAGGGCATAAATAATATATGGAAAGTTATATCTTCCATTTTCAAAATTGAGCCAAGGACTCAAAGCTCCATAGATATTGTTTTAAGCATGCACCATTGTGTAGACAATTAAGTGATCTAAGTCAGGGGTTGGAAAATTATGATACATTGTCCAAATCTGGCCTACTTTTTATAAATAAAGTTTTATTTGAACACAAGCATGCCCATCTCTTTATTGTTTGTGGCTGATTACATATTACAACAGGAAAGTTGAGTAGTTGCAACAGAGACTGTATGCCCTGCAAATCCTAAATTATTTGTTTTCTGACCCTTTACTGAAAAATGTTGTTGACCCTGGTGTAGACTGCTGCATGATCTGGACTCATTCTGTGTAACATGGCTAATTTATTTTTAGCCTAAGTAACCAGATCTGTAACTTTCTTTTAGTTTTGGTTTCTAAGAATTAGAATTTTGTCCTCACCTCAATAATAGGCAATATCATATTATTTCACTTTACAATTTTTTATCCTCTTTTGTTTTACATTTAACATTAATATATTAATTTCTTCAGAATATTGCCCCTGTGGATCACCTGTGTGGCACTCTTTTGTGACATTTATATCTTGTACAGTGTCACTATCATAGTCTTAAATTTCTTTATGTGATTAATATACATGTCCAAATATTGTATAGCACCAGACACTTTTCACAGAATTACGCACAAAACTTGGGGTGAGTGTGAAGAGTCATATTGTATTGGAGTCTTTACAAAGTTTCCTGTTACAGGATTGTCTTAATTATTTTAAGCAAAAGTATGTGTTTTACTACTTGGGAAAAGCACATTACACTGACATTATCTCAATCAGTCCTACTTTGGGCCTGTTTTGTATCTTCCTGCTAGACTCTCAGCTCCCATGTTTTGCTTACTTTTGTGTCCTCAGTGTTTGCACAGTTCTTGGCATACAGTTAGTGGTTAAATATTTAGGGAATTACTGGTGTCAAGCATATACTGGAATTTGTTGTTTGATATATGACAGGTACCTAATTTAAAGTTTCCAAATAGTTGATAGGTTGGCTAGTCCTTTTATTACATGCTGATTTGCCCATTTCCCTTTGGTGGGAGGGCCAACATTATTATCTAAATAATTTGTGCCTTTACTTCTGAACTGCTTATGGCCTTTATGGTCTATTCCATCTTCTCATTTTTCTTCAGTGAAATACTATTACAGTATACATCAATATTGATGGGCTAAGTTACATCCCCCCAACTCTTCTCTTCAAAATGCCTTTACTTTTCAACTTACTCAAGAAAATATTTGAATCACTTTATAAATACCCTTGAAAAATACTCTTCACTTTTTGTTGTAGTTATGTTAAACTAGTAAATTTGCAGAGAACTGGCATTTTAAAAATCACATTGAAGGCAGGCGTGGTGGCTCACACCTGAAATCCCAACACTTTGTGGGGCTGAGATCGGTGGATCACGAGGTCAGAAGTTTAGGACCAGCCTGGCCAAGATGGTGAAACCCCATCTCTAGTAAAAATACAAAAAATTAGCAGGGTGTGGTGGCACACGCCTGTAATCCCAGCTACTCGGGAGGCTGAGGCAGGAGAATTGCTTAAACCTGGGAGGCAGAGGTTGCAGTGAACTGAGATCACACTGCTGCACTCCAGCCTAGGTGACAGAGCAAGACTCCATCTCAAAAAAAGAAAAAAAAATGTTGAATCTTTTAATCCAAGTTTATGGAATTTATTTGTTTAATTCAAGCCTTTTTTCTCATCCTCTCTAAAATTTTATGGTGCCCTCTATTTATTATGTAAGTCACATACATACATAAGTTACCTAAGTATGCAGATATAAGTAACAGAAAATATTACTGGAGTGGATTAAAGAAAAGCTGCTGCAAGGGCCAGGCATGGTGGCTCACACCTATATTCCCATTTCTTTGGGAGACTGAGTTGGGAGAATGGCTTGAGCTCAGGTGTTCGAAGTTACAGTGAGCAATGAACTGCACTCCAGCCTGGTTGACAGAGGCAGACATAACCCTGTCTTAAATAAATAAATAAAAACTGCGAGAATTAAGATGGCAGATAGGAGGCAGGACTAGCTTGCAGCTCCTGCTTGAATGGACAGAGCAGTGTGTAGAGACTCACATGGTGAACTTTTGCTCCAGGAACTGCCACTGGAAAATACCAGGAAAGCCAAGAAATCTTTTGAAGGAACTAGATCACAACTGTAGCCTCCCTGAGATGCCGAAAAACTATGAGTCTCCTTGCTTTCTCAATGGGGAGGCTTGTGGTCTAGGACGAATTCTCAGCCCTGGTCATGAGCTACCTGGAAATAGACTTGGTGCAGTTGTGGAGGGCACAGTGGGAGTGAGACTGGCCTTTAGGACTCTGGGCTGCGTGGGAGCAGGGTGAGGCTTATGACTGCCGACTTTCCCTCACTTCCCTGATGGCCTTTGTGACTCAGTAGAGGTAGCCATAATCCCCCTGGGAATATAATGCCACTGAACTGGGAATCACAACCCCATCCTCCACCCTAGGAGAGGCTGAGTTCAGACACCCCTGTCCCTGCCCTGACAAATGGTCTTCCTCTACCCACCCTGGTAGCTGAAGACAAAGGTTATATCTTGGGAGCTTTATGACCCTGCTGACTGCCTGAGAAAATACAAAGAGAGACTTTATGTAATGAAAAAAGGACTAGTCTAACCGGAAACTATTACAATTTTAAATATATATGCAGCTAACACCGAAGCTCCCAAACTTATTACTATTAGACCTAAGAAATGAGATAGATGGCAACACAATAATAGTGGGGGATTTTAATACTCCACTGTCAGCACTAGACAGGCAGGTCATCAAGACAGAAAGTTAACACAGAAACAATAGGCTTAAACTATACCCTACAACAAATGGACTTCTACAAAGATCTGTAGTTATTTGTAGAACATTCTACCCAACAACTGTAGAATATACATTCTATTCATCAGCGCATGTATCAATCTCCAAGATAGACCTCATGATAGGCCACAAAAGAAGTCTCAGTACATTTAAGAAAATTGAAATTATCTCAAGTTCTCTAAGACCACTGTGAATAAAATTGGAAATCAATTCTGAAAGGAACCCTCAAAACAATGCAAATACATGGAAATTAAATAACCTTGCTCCTGAATAATTGTTGGGTCAACAATGAAATCAAGAGGGAAATTAAAAAATCATTTGAGCAGTACGGTAATAGTAATGCAACCTATCAAAACCTCTGGGATACAGCAAAAGTGATGCTAAGAGGAAAGTTTATAGCATTAAATACCTATATCAAAAAGTTTGAAAGGGCACAAACTGACAATCTAAGGTCACACCTCACAGAACTGAAGAAGGAAGAACAATCCAAATCCAAACCCAGCAGAAGAAAAGAAATAATGAAGTTTAGAGCAAAACTAAATGAAATTGAAACAAACAAACAAAAAATACAAAACATAAATGAAACAAAAAACTGGTTCTTTGAAAAGATAAATAAAATTGATAGATCTTTAGTGATACTAACCAAGAAAAGAAGAGAGAAGATCCAAATAAACTCAATTAGAAATGAAACAGAAGATGCTACAACTGATACCACAGAAATATCAAAGTTCATTCCAGGGTACTGTGAACACCTTTGCATGCATAAACTA